TTTAAAAAAAAAAAAAAAAGAATTGAAAACATTCATAAGAAGAAAGATAATAACCCAAGTGAGTAGATATCTATCAGAATGAAAAAAAGTATCTTCATACATATGAGATGAAGAGTTAATATCTAGAATACAATGAGATACAAAGAAATGAATTAGGATAAGACAATCCAAACAGACAAATGGACCAAACATCTAAATTTACAAAATCACAGAAGAAATTCAAATGGTTAGTAAACATGAAAAGATGCTCAACCCTACGAATAATCAGGAAAATGCAGATAAAAGCAACAGTAGTGTTTATAAGTCATCCATTTGGGAAAGGAGAGGGAAGGGAGGGGGAAATAGAACGGAAAAGGGAGAACAGCAGGGGAGAGAGGATATGATGGACCTTGAGAGCAACTTCACTTTATCAAAAGTGTAAGATTAAAACATGCACAGCTGCTTCAAGACTTCAGGAAGCCAAAGAAAGACAAGCTGTAAACCGTGCTGCAAAGCTTAATACAGAATTTAGTGGGGTAGAATGAAAACAATCACTACCTTTGTTTAGGGAAATATCTTGATAAGCTTCTTTGGGTTGGAAAGGTGGCACCCCAAGACTTGCTCTATAAGAGACAATACGTAAACAAAGAGAGCTGGAATCAGATTTGGAAATGTACATAAGTTCCACATGTCTTTGGACTCCAAGGAAAGACTTAGCGAAGCACTGAAATAGAAACTGAATTAGATTTGACCACCATGCCTTTGAAATGTATTCGGAAAGACACTAAACGGCGTTAAGGTTAGGCATATTTTAAAAACTTGTGTAGAATTTCATCTTTCCTTAAAACTCAAGAGCTGGTAATTAGTAGCTAGTTAATATCAATTCTAAATTTGTGTAGTGATTATTTTTGCAGGAAAAATACAGCTGTGGAGAAGTTTAGGCCGTAAACCTTAGTTGTCCACAGCTGGAGGAAGCCTAATTTTTGGCAGGCAGCCATGACCAAGCTCAACTACTTACCTGAGGGCACCAAATTCTAGGCATAGTGCCTAGAAGGAAATAAATAGCCTCATATGTTTTAATTTATAAAGTCATGGCAAGCATCAAATATATGGATACGGTTCGTTTAAATTTACTCCACAAATATAAGAATATTAGCAAGAGAGGATGCCCCTTCAAGCTTCAAGAGGCAATGTTAATATTACTAAAAGAAAGTGCTAATGTTTTATAACAGGAATTCACAAATCCATGCAATCATATAGGTTGAAAATATAAATAGATTTGAGAAAGATTTGAGTATTGTTAAGGTTATAGTTGTCTCTGGTATCACAGACTATGGATGCATCATAAGCTTTTTTTCTTTAAGGAGAATGAAATTTCAGGCATACTCTAAATATTTTGAAAGTGTCATAATGGAAAATAATCATTTTCCCACAAAGCCCCATTTTATTATTAAAGACTTCTCCGTGGTCAGTACCATCACCCTTATCACCACCACCATCATCATCAACATAGACTGAACACTTCATTTATGTTAAAGCTTTACGTGAATTTTCTTATTTTTAAGGGTCAGATCTTTAAGATAAAATGCAAATACCTTCGGATGCTACTACTAGTTAACACAGTAGCAGTGATCAGAAAGCAAGATTCCTTGGGAATAGAAACCAGAATATAAAATCTGGGAGTTAAAGGGAAGGTGGCACAAAAGGTGGAAAGCAAACACTAATTTCCCTTTCTTCACAATTTTGTTGAGGATGAGAAATATCTGTACTCATAAAGCCAGGACAATTCCAAGATGTTTGTTATGCTGTATTTTTAATTGGCTCCTTTTTAGAAAATGCTCAGGGATAGTCATCAAGGATAGTCAGGTACAGAGCACTTTCTTAAGGGTTATGATTAAATATTTTTTACTTAGAAAAACATAATCTTCTATCAAGAAAGCCTGGGAAATAAACAATTTTAAGGTAGGATAAAAAAAAGAAGTAGTATCAATAGGTATACATCCAAAACACAATTGTTTTGAACATTTTGATTAAGTTTTTCATTAAATCTTGCAATTTTCAAGTAACATTATACTGTAAGCGTTTTCCATGTTATTAAACAGTCTTTGTAATTACCATTGTAATTGCTACACAGGGCTTCACAATAATTTACATGCTCCATTTTTAAAATTTAGGTTGTATCCAGTTTTTCACAATTATATATATATATATAATGTTACAATGCCCATTTTTTTAAATTTACGATGAATTTTATTTATTTTTTTAATTTAAATTCAATTAATTCATGTAGCGTATTATTAGTTTCAGAAGTAGAGGTCAGTGATTCATTAGTCTTATATAACACCCAGCGCTCATGACATCACGTGCCCTCCTTAATGCCCGTCACCCAGTTACCCCATCCCCCCACCCCCCTCCCCTCCAGGGACCCTCAGTTTGTTCCCTATGATTTAGAGCCTCTTATGGTTTGTCTCCCTCTCTAATTTCATCTTGTGTTATTTTTCCCTCCCTTCCCCCATGAGCCTCTGTTTTGTTTCTTAAATTCCACATATGAGTGAGATCATATTGTAATTGTCTTTGGCTAATTGACTTTTTTCACTTACACAATGCACATTTTTTTAAAAATATGCAACACTTCATGAATTTGCGTGTCGCCCTTGCGCAGGGGCCGTGCTACCCTTTTCTGTACCGTTCCAATTTTAGTATATGTGCTGCCAATGTGAGCACATTGTTACAATGCACATACTTGTATAGAATTTGTTTTGTGTTTTAGAACTATTTTCTGAGACGACGTCCACAAACAAAATCAATGCGACAAGAAGCATGAGCAGTTTAAGGCTTTTGGCATATTACTGTCAAAAGACTGCTTTCAAAAAGACATTTTCATATACTCATTTGGAAACATAAATTATTAAAGACTTTTTGGAGAGTAATTTTATAGTATCTTTCAAATAAAAATGCATATATACTTGGAACCAGCAATCCCACTTCTAGGAATCTTTCCAACAAAAATAGTTACACATATATTCAAATACAGATGTACAGGGTTTCATTTTAGCATTGTTTAAATTAGGAAAGAAACTGGAAATAACCTAAGGGAAAAGGTCAAATAAATTGCATTATGGCTATATTTTGGCAAATATAAAGCTGCTAAGAATTAAGTGGTTCTACATTTATTGACACGGAAATATCTCTTAGAGAGTTAAGTGGAGAACAAAAGCTGATAGAAAAATAATCAGAATGATTTCACTTATTAAAAAAATAAGTAATTATATATGTTTGAAGATTCATTCAAAAATCAATAGGGATTGACGGTGGTATGATCTTATGAATGGATTTAATACCACCCAACTGTACATTTAAAAATGGTTACGATGGGGGCACCTGGGTGGCCAGTTGGTTGAGCATCTGACCCTTGATTTCGACTCAGGTCAGTTAGGATTTATAACACATATTTTGCTTAAAGATATTAAGTTAATTACCTAAGACTACACAGCTGGAATGTGTCAGAGCCAGGCATTCAAACCTAAGTTTACTGGGTCCAAAGCCCATGTTCTTTCCATCTCACCACTGTGCATTTTTACTCTATTTTAATGCTGATAGGATAAATTACCCCTCACTCCTAAACTTTTTCACCTTTGTCTTTGCTAACACAGTGTGTTCATCATTCCAAATGGACTTTAAAATCACTTTGTCAAATCCCAGAAATCAAACAAATAAGAAAACAGGCTGGAAATGAACCTATAAACTGACTTAGGGAAATGCTGACACCTTTAAAATAGTTAACTTTCCTAAAAAGGATATGGTGTGTCCATTGCTATCAATTTTATTCATGTCAGTCTACCTTGTTAACATTATTCACAATCCTTTTGGGTCTCCTAGATACTCAATCATTTTATATACAAATATTAATAATGTCACTTTCTAACATTTATAGTTCTTATTTCTGTTTTCTGCCTTTTATGTTACAGTAAATTTCCAGAAGAAGGTTCTTAGGGCTTTATTCACCAAAGAGTATGATCATGACAGATTAAAAGATTGTTTTTAAATCACAGTAAAGAAGTGTCCTTCTCTGCCTTTAGCTCAGGTCATGATCCCAGGGTCCTGGGACAGAGCCTCGCAAAGGCTCCCTCCTCAGCAGGGAGCCTGCTTCTCCCTCTCCCTCTGTCTCTCCCCCTGCTTGTGCTCTCTCGTGCACTCTCTTTCTCTCTGAAATAAATAAACAGATAAAATCTTAAAAAAAAATAAAGAAGTGTCCTTCTATACTTTGAATTTATCAGATGCCGTTCAACTATCACTAAGTGATCATTAAGTGATCTTTTTTCCTTATTATCCTTAATGTATCCTAAAAACTTTCCAAATTTTGAAACACTTAGATCCCTGGATGAATACTATTTGGTCAGTGTGGATTATTATTTTAGTATGTAGTTATAATTGATCTACTAACATTTAAGAATTTAAAAGCCTAAATCTAGGCTTTAAAATTCAAAAAAGATTGTTTCAGATGCACACTACCTGGTTTGTGGGTGCAAAATTCTGCTTACAATTTCTACAATTTCCTAGGGATACTTACAATCCCATGGTCTCCTCAGACTTCAAGCTCCTGCTTTCGTTCAATTGGATCAACGGATGGAGGGACCCAGCCTGCTGTTTCTTGCTCCTTCTGTTCTGGACAGTTAACCCAAATGTGGAACTCGACCCATTTCTTATATTTCCACCAAAAACACACTCATATGTGGCATGTATATGTAATACACTTAGCAAAAACGGAAGCAATATAAAACCCCAAGTTAGACCTGTGGACCTAAAAGTCTTTTAACAGTTTTTGGATCTCTAGTCTCCTGCTTCATTGCTTAGCCCTCTGCTCTCTCCATTTTATTTCCCTGGCCAGTTACCCCTCCAACAGATAAAACAAAGCTTTTCTACTTCCTTAAACTAAGAAATTTAGCTCTCTTTAGATCATGCCCTGAATCCAAGCTTCGGTGTCACTTTAAACACCTAATCAAACCTATCAAGGTGCTCACCAACCCCCTCAAAAAAAAAAAAAAAAAAAAAAAAGAAAAAATCATTTCATATATGTTAGTCAGGTATACTGAAGTAACAAACAACTCAAATCTCTATAGCTTCCAAGAACAAGTATTTATATATTGCTCATGCTTTTTGCCAGTGGCTGCAACTTTGTTCTGTGTGTCATTCTACAAACCAGCCGAAAGGAGCAGCCTCTATTAAGAACATGTCATTGTTATGGTAGAGAAAAAAGCAAACAAGTTGGCAGAAACACAAACTGCCTCTTAAAGTGTCTGCTTAGAAGTAACACATTGTCGCTTCCTCTCATCTTCCATTGACCAAGTCACATAGCTAACTTAGAAAATGTGGTGGCAAATATACTTCATCTACTCTCTTAGAGTAGCTAGAAACACGAACACAATTTTAAAAAAATGTAAGAAGAGTCACCCTCCATATAATTAATTGTAAACAGAAACTTTATCCTTTTCTTTAAACTATATTCATGATTAAGATGGGCATGTAAGTAGTGGTTCTGGGGCTCATGAGTTGTAAGCATAGGACGGTGCCTATCAGAAAACCTAGAGAGATTTTCTAACATGCATGATGTCCCTACTCCAACCTTCACCATCATCTGATTCATCCCTGGATGTAGGAGCAGATATGTACATTTTGCAAAGGATACTTAAGTGATTTTAACACTCTCTACTTTCAAGCCTTTTGAGAACCAGTGGAACTGGGTTTTGGGGGAATGCTCCTCTCATATTTTGTCCACACCATTCCTGGCACTTTAAATACAGTAAGTCCTCCAGTTTCTAACACTACACAAAAATAAACTAAAAATGGATTAAAGACCTAAATATGAGAACTGAAACCATAAAAATCCTAGAAAAAAACGTAGGTGGTAATTTCTTTGACATCAGCCATAGCAATATTTTTCTAGATATGTCTCCTCTGCCAATGGAAACAAAAAAACAAAACAAAACAAAAAGCTATTGGGACTACATCAAAATAAAAGGCTTTTATACAGCAAAGGAAACCATCAACAAACAAAAAGGCAACCTACTGAATGGGGGAAGATATTTGCAAATGATATATACAATAAAGGATTAATACCCAAAATATATAAAGAACTTATACAACTCAACCCCAAAACAAACAAACAAAAAAGAAACAAATAATCCAATTTTAAAAATGGGCAGGGAACCTGAATAGACATATTTGCAAAGAAGACATGCAGATGGCCAATAGACACATGAAAAGATGTTCAACATCACTAATTATCAGTGAAATGCAAATCAAAACTACAATGAGATTTCACCTTACACCTGTCAGAATGGCTAAAATCAAACAGACAAGAAATAATAAGTGTTGGTGAGGATGTAGAAAAAAAGGAAATCTCCTGCCCCTTTGGTGGGAATGTACATCAGTGCAGCCACTGTGGAAAACAGTATGGGAGGTTCCTCAAAAAATTAAAAATACAAATATCATATGATCCAGTAATTCCACTATCCACTACTGGATGTTTACCCAAAGAAAACAAGAACATTAATTCAAAAAGATATTTGTAGCCCTATACTTACTGCAGCATTATTCAGAATAGCCAACATATGGAAGCAACCAAAGTATCCATTGATAGACAAATGAGTAAGGAAGATGTGGTACATACACCATACATGTATATATATATATGTATATATAGTGTATCTATGTGGCATATATATCTATAATATATAGTATACATATTTGTGGTATATATATGTGAGATATATATTGTGGAATATTATGTAGCCATAAAAAAGGTTGAGATCATGCGATTTGTGACAACATGGATGGAGGCAGCAGGTATATTGCTAAATGAAATAAGTCAGACTAAGAGAGACAAATACCATATGATTTCACTCATGTGTGGAGTCTAAAATACAAAACAAATAAATAAGTAAACAAAAAGCAGAATCAGACCTATAAATACAGAGAATAAACTGATGGTTGCCAGAGGAAAGGGGAGTTGGGGGAATGAGCAAAATAGGTGAAGAAGAATGGGAGATACAGGCTTCCAGTTATGAATTGAACAAATCACAGGAATAAAAGGCATAGCAGAGGGAACATAGTCAATGATACTGTAACATTGTATGGTGACAGATGGTTGCTACCCTTGTGGGGAGGATAGCATAACATACAGAGAAGTTGTATCACTACATTGTATAGCTGAAACTAATGTAATGTTATACTCAAATTTAAAAATTGTTTAAATAATAAATATGACGAGTCCTTCGATTAATGCTGCAGTGAGCACATAGCACATGAACAGGCAATAACATCTGCCTCATATAGTTGGCCAGGACGCTCCTTTTGCCAAGAGAAGGTTTTTACATTATAAGGACTGCAGAAGGTTTTCTACTTTTAAAAAAGAAACTACTGTTGAAATTTTTGCGGGAATATATTTTGAAAGCACTCAACCAAGAAGAGTGGAACATAATTTTAGATTGGACTGAATTTGTCAATGTGGATGCACTCATCAGAAGCGCTACATTCAAAGTGCTGGCTCAAGCAGTTGGGTGTCTAAGTGGGTTGGATAAAGCAAATCAGCCTCCAACACTGGCCCTCATTAAAGAAAATGGAGATGCCAAAAATCCCTTGGCATATATACAGGAAGGAAATTAACGACTCCTTGAGATAGGAATGCTGGAATAGCTCCATTATAAGTGTCCTTCTTATATACC